ATCCCACCGGCCTTGTCGCACGCAGCAACGACGGGGAGTTTTCATTACGGTCCGCGGACGAAAAAAGTACCTGAGTTCGTCCAACACAACGGCTACACCGGATAGTGGTAGATTCAGCCTTCGCGCCATCCGACGAACAGCCGGTAAAATACCTCTAACTGGTTGTGAATGGCTTAAGAAGGATACTGATGAAAACCAATATGAGTGTAAGCAGAAAATATGCGCTGATCCATTCAACGACTTACAGTGGGCTACTGTGTGGTAAAAACCAGGATCCGAAAGGTTCTCCAGGGACCGCAGTGGTGAATGTCTTTCTGGTTCCAAAGTCCTGATAACAGGGATCGGGGAAACCGCCGGTGAACATCGTGGTAATTCACAGCCTAGTTTATCCCCTGGGACGGTCAAATGCGGCATATCTAGAACCTATCATCTGATTACTCATGAATCGTACCCTCAGATAGTCGACTAAAGGCATTATGGACGCATTCATCAGCCGGGGAACGAAAACGGCCACTTGCCGCAACCGCCTGTCGTACTTTCCTATATAGCGCTGTTCTTGAACAGCCCTTACGAGCAACAAGAAAAAAATCGGGCGCATTGACGATTACTTGGAATGAAAAATCTTTTTACGGTTTCGTTCACGTAAACACACCAGGGATAAAGAATATGACAGAACAAAAAACTAACTCTCAGTCGTACGCTAGGACAAGCAGAACGCAGAGCTTCCCGAGAGCAATGGTGACGCACACTAAAACAAAACCACTTAAATGGGTCGACAGTTTGGATTTCGTAGGCACTCGAAAATGCAGGGTATTGTGGTTTTATATTACCGTAAGACAAATAAAGAAGCTTTGATTCCTATTAAACGTATCAATCTTCCGCGGCTTAAAAGCCAAAAATCAGTGCAAAGTTCTGCACAGATTCCGCACAGGTTCTGCACCCAGGAGCGGACGCGTGCTAACTGGGTGGGTTATACTTTCCAACCTCTCAAGATTATGCTGCAGTATTGATGCGGCCTCCGCCATGCTAACTCTGAATAACAGTGGTCGAGATCCCTGATTACGCACTTCGGTATTCGACCAGTGAAGCAGAGACAAACGGCAAAAATTATTTACCGGGGTGGAACCTGCGTATATTTCGCATCCACAAGGGCCATGTGATTGCAAGGAATTTCAGTTACTTATTTCAATCGCAGAACTATCTGCAAATTGCGACCATTGTAAACGATACACCCTTTGTCACAATTCGCGATATCTCATTACATTAAGCCACCTATTCACTGCCAGTGGTGATTGTCGACCTTGAAGATTCGCTCACTTAAGGAGGTCCATGAGAATAATTCATTATACATAGGCCATCTATATTATTAAATGGTAACCGCGGAAACGTCGTAGCTTTCGAGAAATCTGTTCCAATGTACGAATACTGAGCGGCGGTTGGGACACGGGTGACCGATGGCACACGATTCATGTACAATCAGCATTCGGATTGGTTAGTTGTGCACAAGCCAGGAAGCGCGCGCATTCATAATCTCCTTCGTGCAAAACCAAGACAAGAACGAGTTAAATGCTTAAAGCGCATCATATGGAGCGATCGTGTGTTCGGGTATGGGTCACGCGACTCCGTCCAGTCAATGATTTGCTTGAGTTTAGCTCGTGCATGAAGTCGGTCGACGACCCCCGGATTCGAGCCACGAACACATCGGTCTTAAGACCGGTGTGTTCGTGAGCGCAAATTTACGCGCAAACGTATCCTATAGGATACGCATGGCCTGATGGCATTTATAAATGTCATCAAGCCATGCTTATGACAGTTCGCTGTACTATGTGCACCGATGCTACGTTCCACCCCGAGGAGGGATGGGTTAGAAAATGTTGGCCCTAAAATCGCACACTCCGATCGCCTAACGGATGACCGTAACCGCCGAGTATCACTATTACCACAACTTTTCGATTCTTTATTTTTGTGACCTATGAGGAGTTTATGGAAGGCTCCGTAGGATTGTAATGATAAATAGAACCTTCATTTGGTTTATATGCACTACAACAGCGTTTGTAAGCGTTTGTTCCAGTTGCCCTCCAACTTTGCGTAAGGTGTAACGCTTTTTCAAATATAATCCACGGCGACTTACATGGTCTCTACATACATGTGATGGGAGTGTTGTTGACACAAATCAGTGATACCTGAAGCGCCAATCAGCGACCATGTATAACTATACAGTCGAAAACGAAGTATTTATCGCGCAGGGTTAATTTGTATATGACGAACTAACGGTAAACTGTTTCCGAGGTTGTGGAAAGAGGCTCCAGCCAGTGTAGGTCGTTCAGCTGTGGCACCCTTCAAATGCTCATCTGCTATGCCACGCAAGCGAAGCACGAGGGCTGGGATAATGCTTGGTTGCCCAAGACTAGATAGGTGATGTCAAGAGGCAGAGGTCGGGTTCGAACCACGAGCCTTCTGGTTAGTAAATTCGCGCCAAAACCACTGAGTCAACTCGCCATCTTTGTAGCATTCAGAGTGGGCCGCCACTGCCACTTTAAGTTGACTAGTTTTGCTCGGGATCACCATCATTATCAGCTGTAGGAACCGTAAGCATGACGTTAGGTTTCGAGTCCACCCAATCTTGCAGTGGTATTTTACACTTTGCAGGCGTGAAGTGCATGCCAAACGTGGGACAGTTATTTGGATTGTTTAATATTGTCTGCATTACCATGGGTCAGATCCAAGAAGAGCTATGTCGTCTTCGTACTCGATATCTGTGAGCAAACGTTCGGGGTCACTTCGACTTCACAGACATTAGAGGCTGATAGTGAGTCTTCCATGATCGTATCAATGACGAATGGTAGAAGAGGATAGCCATGTCTCATGTGAACTCTGATGTGGTGAACTCAGGCTTATGTGTGCCAACGTACCCTTGTGTCAGGTTGTTTTACGTCGTTTTCGAAATAAAATAAAAGATTAAAGTCGCAAAGTACAGATAATCAGTCATTTCTGGGACAGATATAGCGTATTGTTGTATGAACGGGCTATCTGATAATCAAAGTCCCCGGACCGCAGATGGAATAAGCTAGCAGCAGCAGTGAATTGACCAGGGAATGGATGTCTGGAGGATCAGAAAGAACGAATCTGCACAATGCACTTACATCTTTGTTCCTTGACTGACTCTGGAGCTGGAATTGACACTGCTTCTGGCACCCAACAGTTACTATCTTGAAGGTTGCCTCTAAATATGTTGGTCGTCGAAAACCATGGCAATCTCTGTGGAGCAATGATGCCCCATTAATTATTTGCCTTCACCAAGGCGTTGTAAACTAACTTCCTCCGATTCGTGAAGGTTGACTGTGAGCTGTTGCCTCATCATCATCGACAGCATGACATCAGTGTTCAACACCGATGCTTCACTACATCCAATAGTGTCGGATAAGACTGTCCTCTGTTCCGTGGTTTCCATCTCTGTCATCGACAGAATCACGGAAAATCCACTTCGAGCGTGTAGCGTCTGTAAAGTCGAAATGCCAGGATGTTCTCTCACGGATATCGAGAAAATGAATAGCTTAGCTCCTCTGATCTGATCCTACCGAAGTGCACATAATATAAGATAATCTAAGTAATCTCATCCAGCAGTTTTGTGTGCGCTGAACACCTTCACATTGTGAAGCGCTGCTGCGAGATCGGGTTGGATCAGATCCGAATCTCAAGCATTCAGATAAGCCGATTGAGGTTGTAGTAAAATTTTTCAACTTGGATATTCGCAACAGTTTTTGCGGTCTGGATGAGGAAAGTCAGCAGCATTTTCCAACTTGCAACATCTGTGGCGTAGACGTGACGTACGTTTATCTAACAGAGGCTGAGTGTACAGTACTGCGGTGTTAATTGCCTCAGAAACCTCTCTGGGGGCGTCAAAATCTCTTAATGATCGGAGCTGCAAATACATTAGACCTTATCGCAATGTGAAGGTTTGTGTACCTCCTTTCCACATAAGCTGTACTGACGGGCTTCGTTTTGAGACCCGCAGTTTCTCATACCGAGCTAACCGGCAAATAGAGGTCCGAAGAACACAATCTCCTGTCCCACACGTTCGGTGTTTGGAACAGGTATGGCAACTTGATCCTTGAAAAAGCTGGTACCAATTTAGTCGTTTGCCTGTGTCCACATGCTGCTTCGCGGTCAGGTTTTTGAGCCAACGATCTTGGTTGACGTCCTTCTGTCCAGGGGATGGATGTAGTAGCCGCGTAAACAAAATCAACAGGAAATTGTAGTGTATGTTGTCAGTCAAGGCAACAAATGGGACAATATTTTGTCAAATGACCTAATGAGTGGCCGCTACAAGGTCCACAAACCGTCACACCATGGTAACGGAAAGATCAGGGGATGGATGTAGTAGCCGCGTAAACAAAATCAACAGGAAATTGTAGTGTATGTTGTCAGTCAAGGCAACAAATGGGACAATATTTTGTCAAATGACCTAATGAGTGGCCGCTACAAGGTCCACAAACCGTCACACCATGGTAAGGCGACGGAAAGATCTTCCCTAAGCCACTTCCTTGAATGCTTAGGTTTTGAGATACTAAACTCAAAATGTTCGAAAGACCTTGCTGCAATTGTACCACAGCGCTGAGTCGAATACTGGGTTCTGTAGAATTGATCAATTTTCTGAATACTCCTAACTATTGAAATCCCCCCATTTTCTGGTAGGATATGCATCTTTTTATTCTGCAACTGAATTTCATTATTGGGTTGGAAATGGAGCTTGCCGCTAAGTCGAATTCCTTATGTTGACACTCCGGGTTACCGGACGGTGCTGCTATCACGAGGTTGAACTGTACCATCTTGCATCTTTCAAAAGCTTTTCTTAGTTCAGCTATGCTGAACACTGGTTTGACCGAGTGGATATCGGTCAAGTTGTTATACTTTTTTGAGAAGATATCTGCTACATGATTTTACCAGTGTGAATAAGGTTCTTATCCGTCTCTCTGGTTTACTCGTTTTTCCACTTTTAGCCCTGTAGTGAGGACATGAAAGTTGCTGTGGTAAGTGTTTTAGTATATCTTTACCTTTTAGGTAACTGGCTCGAACAAAGGTATAGGATTGGCTTTGGTTGAAAAATTGGCCGAATTTTATAAGGCGACCGGCGGGTGGCACGTTTTTCTGACCGGTATTCTAATGCCCCATTATTTCACTCACGCTCTGTACTTACAGCTCGTGATGAGCAACGAGGTCACAGAGCGTGTGAACAGTTGCACCTCAAGGGATTACCGGTCAAGTTCCACCAGCTGGACATATGTGATGATCGTAGTCGTAAGCGGTTCTTAGGTTTCCTCACATCCGAGTACGCTGGAGGAATTAACGTGCTGGTGAATAATGCCGGGATCCTTTACAAAGTGAATTTTAGGATTTTTAGAATTCTCACTCGTCGACTTGATAGGACCAATCCTCAGCTAAGTTCGCGGAAAATGCGCATGTCACAATCGGCACAAACTTCACCAGTACACTGGATTTCACGCTTGAATGTCTCCCCGTTCTAGCAGATGATGCCAGGTATTCGTATGCCTGTGTTCTTTCAACTCTGTTTTCAGGCTAGTCAATATGTGTAGCTTTCTAGCCCGCGTAGCACACAGAAAGCTTGGAGAGAAGCAGAGGGAGAAATTCAGTTCTCCGATGACCCTTGAAGAACTTCGTGCTCTGATGGATGAATTTGTCAGGTTGTGCATCCTTGTGTGTGTGTGTGTGTGATTTCTCACGATTTTATGTGCTACCGATTTCAATCTCCCTTGGCTGCCGCACCTTACTTATGTTTCATTTTCGGATCACGGTTTGTGTGATTGCCTTTGTCGTGCATGCTTCGTAGTTGTTATGCACGATGTTAGTTTACTATAATGGGCCTTGCCATTTTTCACACACACGGCGCGCGAATTCCTTACAAAGCAGTGCTTCTCGCTGAGACTTTATCCAGAGGTTGACGTCACCCTATACCGAAATCCCGGAAAGATGGCTTCACACGGTTTTATGGCAGAAATCGAGAGGGCACGATATGGACTATTGTTTGGGTGAATAGAGAAACTGCTACATTCATCATGGAATAGGGTGGCCACTGCGTTTAACTTGAAAAGTTATCTAGCCTGAACGTTCGTTACAAGAAAACGCTAGAAATAGATGCACATTGTTCCACATAAGCGAGGAATGTACATTAGTAATTCACTGTTGTCTTCATCCAGTAATTTCAACAACTTTGGAAGATGAAAACTTATAGATACACACAATTCGTAAACTACGAAGAGGAAGCCGAAGATAGCTCTCCATATTTCGACACAATCATTGCAAGTAGGCTCGGCTGATCTGTCAGCTCTAACGCTTACGGGGAACCTGAGCGTTCCCCTAATCTCATCCTTTCAAGGATAATTGTTACGTTATCGAAACATTTCCGTCCCGTACCTGTGATCTTTGCACACCAGATTGTCCCCACAAGTGCGCTAGCAATGGTTTTTAGTGAGTAAATGCCAAAACCTCACGGGCCTTAAATCGTCGGCCTTAAAAGTGTCAGTCCCCGAACCTCTCATGGTGACAATGCAAGTACACGGACAACCGAACACATAGTGCAGCACTGAATAGACATGTCCCCAGCCAGATCCAAAGTCTACCGATGCCTCCAGTCTATTGGTGTCAAATCCTACTGTGTAGCAGAGGAACATGCTGATAGGTGTCTTATTTGCCGAACGAAGAAGCACGCGGTTCGTTGGTTCGAAATAAGATTGTATTAGTAAACTTAGTAGCGGACCTTCAATCATCGACTGGCAGGCATCTCTTGCCCAGCCGGGCACTGACTCTCTCACTCGTTTGAACTCACATGTTCTGAGAAGTTCATCGAGACCGCATTTCCAAAAATTGCTTAGTGTCAAACTCAGGCTACCATGTACTTGGGATGCGTGTCGTTGCTATCTATCTTCTCGTTAACTGACCAGTCTGATCATTGCCCTCCTTGCTGTAGAAGCGTTATTAAGTATTTTCCTTATTTTTGTTGCTGATTAACCAGTGCGAAACGCTCGCATGTTTCAATCTCTGCTTTCCTACTATTGTTTAAAATGTCAATTCATTTATTTGATCGTAAAACTGAAAAGTTAGCCGGTGAAATGTTAGCATCATCATCACCATCATCGACAGCGTGACATGGTGCTTCGCTTCCGTACAACCATGATTTATTTGAAAGCTTTATTGTGAAGAGAAGAATGGGCAAGGGACTTAGTGCTAGCCAACCACAATCATTCTGAGGTGCCTACATCTCGAGTCGCTCATTCAGGCAATCTGGACAGAATCTGACATGACATCGATTGTTGGCTATATTTTGCAGCGTCTCCAGCAAGGTGCAGTGGATTCACGCGGTCCTAATCCTGGATTTCGAATCGCACCGACAGCACCCACACTTTTCGTAATCTCCTTCATACCCCTGTCCCAGGTCAAGGGTTGACCTCTCTACTTCCGTCACTCTGAATTGGGCACGGAAAACAGCACTCTCTTCAGCAAACAATGGTTCGTCATGCGCAATACATGGCCTAACCAACGCAATTTCTGGGACTGGACACATTCTTCAGTGAAAGTCCCGGTCACATAACCGAGCATTCGCTTTCTAATTGCCGTGTTACGGATTCGCTGGCACCAACCCACAAGGGCTATGGTTTTGAGACGACTATTAAACACCTGAGGACGTCTCAGCTTCATCGCTCGAACAGGTCAAGTCTCACAGCCATGCAATAAAACATTCCGTACTGTAGCCAGCTAGACACGTCCTGTATGGTTCAGGGATGTACGGTTTTGATGCTGTAAGTGTCTCATATAGGGAAACGCGACCCCACCTTCGAAGATCCGTCCATTGACCTCGTCCGTCACACGGAAATCTGAGCCAATATAACTTTCAAGATACGTAAAGGGCTCTAGTACTTCGAGCCACGATGTCGTCTGCATATTCCAGATTGACAAGGTGTATCTCGACGCATTTATAATTATTCCGCATAGTGATCTTGTTCGGGGTGTTCGGCTGCGTGGTAAAATTACAAATTACCGCCTTGTAGATCACTTACCTGATTGGTCTGTGGATGGGAGATGTTTTGCGATCGTTGGTGCTGGGTTGCAGGTTTGCGACCAACGACCCGGGGAAATTCGCCTGCTTTGCGCAACATGGTTGTGATGTATTCACCCATTCTCTGCCATCAATGTGGGTTCCACTGCAACTGCAGATAAAGCAAGTGCATGACGTGGCTGGCAAAAAGATGTGGTCCCCGCGATAGATTAACTTGAAATCTGAGGACTGAAGCGTAATGGTCCACCTGGGAAGCCGGAGAAGTGCGATCCAAGGCGATTATTAGTTCCTCTCTAGTTTTTGCGAATGTTTTGTCACTCTTAAATGTGTATTCACAGTAAGCATCGCATGTTCTTGTTTACAACCTGAACCGCTATGGGAACTTCGCACTCTGTAAATACATTCTGCACCATAGTTTAATCGTTTCGCTCGAATAATCCAAATATTCGTTACCAAATTTTTTGGGAGAATGAGACGTACCAGACAGGTGGCTAGTCCCTGTAGTCAGGCTTAAGTACATGTCAGACCGCTTGAATTACCAGTTGCTTGATGTCCAGTGATATTTTCATAGAATCGGCTATTCTGAACCCTGATTATCATAGTATGGAAACACGGACGTTCATGCTCTCTAGACTGTGCAGATCGTTCAGCTGAGTCAGAATGAAAGGTCTTCGTAGCAGATTATTCAACTAGCCTGAATCAACAACAAATTTTGATAGAAATCCTGAGGCTGCAAATGATGTGCGTTTTTTAGTTTTATTTATCCGCACAAATTTACGCAGTGTCATGACAGAAACTTCTGGGTTTCTTTTTGGGAGCGTTCGCAACAGCAACGAAACCGAACTTTTCTACCTCAGTGACACGGAATTATGGTCCGACCCCAGAAGTATGAACATCTAACCAACGTATCGATGCGGTATCAACGGTAACGAAGGGCACTCCTATTGTCTCACAAACCTATCCAGGCGGACGCTTAGTTCCCGAGTTGAGGTCAACAGAAAACCTTGAATGATAGTTGTGACAACTGAACAGGTGTTCGTCATGACTTGTTTACTTGACGAAGCTTACTTTCGGAGGTATTCGTTGGAATGTGTATGATGTACAGATTATTCCAGTTCATACTTTGCTTTGTGTTTCTCAATCCTAGGCACGCCGATACGGGAGATTACGAACAACATGGCTGGCACAATATGACCTACGGTTTGTCCAAACTCGCCCTGACAAAGGCAACCTTCATACTGGGCGATATGCTAAAAAATGACCCGCGCCGCATCCTCATTAATGCGGTATGTTTGCCATTACATTGAAAATTCACCATTGGGTATATAATGCTCTCCTTGAAAAAGAGGAACAAATTTCCCGATTGTATCTGATAGCGTGAAGTTTTTGTAAAGACACTGTATGGTTTTGCCGTCAGAGTACAGTTCTCATTTTCTGCTCATTCCTTTGAAATTCTATGTGTTTTTGTGGCTTTGTTCATGGTGAGTGGCCTCCTCCATCAAGTGATGAGATTTATTTGACGGAAGCGTCAAGCATGATGGGTGGTCAGTTTTTATTGGAAGCTTCTGATCGCTTTTAAACTTGCATGCTATTGCGCAATAGGATGGAGCCCTTTGTTTTTCAACATACCTTACGGACACATTTTTGCAACAGGGAGGTATTCTTTGGATGGATCAACCATGTTGTATGGTGCACTGTGTCCTACGCACTTACTGTATCTACTTGTACTCTTTAATTTCGAGGGCTCTGGCTGTTGTTCCAATCCGTTAGTTGTTGTTACCTCGATTTCTGATTAGGAGCATGCGGACACAGGTGGGCTTAGTCAGACGTGGGCACTATTTGTTGCTTGTGCACTCAAGAACCACTGCTATGACCGTGCATCAAAACTAATGCCTTCAGTACGTAGCTACTAACTGAACTGGCAATCACCTCCACACTCTCCCACTTTGCGGTGATCGCAATTGTAGCAGCTGGAACCAATGTGCTGGAATACGGTATATGGCTGTTAAACTGATTGGCTGATGATGATGCTTTGGAAACTTCGGGCTTAACTTGTTGACTACTGTTGGTTCGAGGTCCACCACAGTTGTTGGTTGTCCGGATGTAATTCATATTGTTTGCTGCGTAAACAAAGAGAGCCTGTAGAGAAAACTTTTTATATGGAAGCCTTCATACAACACGCCCAAAGACTGCTTATCTCCACGGCTACTGGATAGCGGAATACATGGGTCAAATCACGAGATAACAATTCAGTAGGCTAGAAGAACTCATGTTTCGTTGATGAAGCGTAAAACGATGAAAATCAGCATCTTAATTTCGATTCATTCACTTCGAAATTCAGCGTTGAATTTAACACTGCCTTTCCAACCCCATTTCCCACACTGGCTTTGCAACAGTTTTTTTTGCCTGGAATTCAGAATTTTTGACAGGTTGTCTGATGAAAAATACTCGAACCTGGTTTATTTGGCCAGAAACATTTCGAACATCAGCTGACAGGTACAACTGCAAGTATTCTTTCTGAACTTAATTTATCCGGACAAAAACTTTGCGTTGACAATCCTTTGTTGTCTTGGTATTCCACGACTGCACATCACGAGCTAATTGGCTGATCAGCAGCTGGTTGTCACCTGTGTTCGTGTGCTTGTGACATTTTACAATCAGCTTCTGGTTTCGTCTCTCTACAATCTTTTTTTGTGCAGTCACAGTCACCAGTGTAGTTTTAGTTCGCTGTCATTTCCTCTGGATTGTATTTTTGCTCATGTAAAGGCTTCGGAAAAAAGTGACACGAAAACAATGTCTCTCCTTACAACCACTGTCTTTTGACTGACCGTACTGCCCACCAGCATACATCAGACACGATCCGGTTTGGCAGTGTGTGGTGAGATGAGAATATTACACGATTTCATTTTCTGTGCTGGGGTCCTTGTCCAACAGCTACCGTATTCGCCTGTTCGGTTCTGATAGATTTCTAGTGTAATCGATCAGATCACACACTTGTTTGATGTACCGTTGATTTACCTTATAATCTTCCAGTCGATGGTTATTTTGTCTCCGAAAAGCTCACTATATAGTTACTCGCACACCTTTACAAGGACCTAAGATACTTGGCCACATGCAGACCATATATCTTTGTCGTTACTGTTTGTTACTGTTTCTTCTTATCTTTTTCAGTGTTGTCCCGGTTATGTGAACACAGATATGACTGACCATAAAGGTACAAAGACACCAGAGCAAGGCAAGTACAAATTTCTCCCTGTTAAAGTGGTTACTCTTAATTCCATGCTTGATGATAAATAAATGATTCCGAGCCACCGCCACTACCACCAAACCCAGTACTACGTTCGTTCATATAGTAAGGATAAAATCAATATATGATTTCCTCTGGTCCTAACTTATTTTCATTCTTTCACAAATTTTATTAATGTATTCAGAGAGTTTCCGCTTGATAGTCATCGTTACGTTTTCATTTCTGATCGCATTATTATTCTATTTCCCCATCCTCCCTGTTTTCTATAGGAGCTGATACACCATTCTTTCTGGCAACTTTGCCAGTGGGAACCACCGAACCGAATGCCCAGTTTGTACATGATCGCAAAATCCACCGTTGGTTGGAAAAATCAGAGTGCTGAAAAAAACCACGTTTTTGCTCCTCAATGTCCACTTCACTTTAGCAGTACAATACATCATTTCTCCTGTATTTCTTGCTGGGTTTTTATCGGGCTTGTCGCTGTCTCGCATACATCTCTACAAGAAACTATTGTTTCTGTCAGTAAGCTCCAAACTCCTGGTGTCTTTTCAGAACTTGATATTCAGTGTCATTGATTCACAACAATGCACATTTATGTCGCGTAACTCCGTGTTCCTCGTGCGCTGAGATGTCCTTTCTGTTCGTGCTACTTTTATTGTATAAGTAGCGTGAAGTTTTTTAAATCGCAGTGCAAGCCAGCTGGCTATCACCCCAAGCCCTAGCCGAACCTCGGGACTAGGCGGTGCACACTGCTGATCGTCCAAACTCACCTACAAAGTGTTTCCGGCTTTTGAGCATGAATCTATTTTGTATTGAAAGGCAAACTCCGAAATCCACCCTTCCAAATATACCTATCTGCTAGTTTCCAACCGGCTGGCTCAGTAAAGTTAACCCCTGGCTGATACTCATCAGTCGGTCTGTTTGACGATCTTTTGACAAAGAGTGCCTTGTGCGCTAACGGATAGCGCGAATCCGACCACTGCCGAGAATCCAGTGTTCTGTCCTGCGTTTTACATTGTTTTTAAACCCATCCTCTTCTCTGATCTGAACAATTGTTCAGTATTGTGTCCATGTAAATTTCAATTCTAATCCATCCCACTGCAGTGCCATCAACTTCAGTCCTTTGTGACATTTGGAAAAGTATGCACTTGCCTCCCCTTGAGGTGAGCGCCCTCAGAGCAAGCCACTTCTGGTTGGCCTACGGAATGGAATGCTGCACCACAGTGCTTACTTGTTTGCGAAACGCAGTAAAGAAGCTCGTTGGAACAAACTCACTGGGAATGGAGTAGGAGGTTTGCGGCAGGTACTTGTCTGAAACAGTCTTGAGTCGCATGTCAATCCTCCATGGCATAGTCAATCAAGGGGCTAGATGGTGAAACGGTGTGCGGCACATTGTGTTGCACTGGAAAATCATGAACTTGATTGTATGCAGTCGACCGTGATCAAATGGGCTTTTCGCCTCTTGTTTTAAGGCAAGAAACCACCGAGAAAGAAGTCCCCGATGTGTGCTACATTTAGGACTGAAAGACGTAGAAAAATTAGGTGAAAAATTCCCTTGGAATCATCCACCATGGGTCCACATATGGAATAACTTAAAGTACGGGCGTACGTTTCCCTAAGGGCATGTCTTGTCCGACTATCCAATGTCACCGCCTTAAGCTCGCGGTTGCAAAGTCGAGAAAATAAAACGAACTGGAGTCACTCTTGGAAAATATAGACTGACGAATGAAATCAGGTTGAGGTCCAACCAAATCCATAGGAATCCTTTTTAAGTGCACCGTAGAATCGACGGATAATGACCACGAAATAACACGAACGGATACATTTTGAAAGAAAGTGGGGGTCGTTTGAACGACACTTCTGACGGGCAGAGAGCCTCCCAACTTATTGTTGTGTTGTTTATCTACAAAGAAAAGTCAGACAAGTTCGTCGGACAGTGGAGCCCCGTCTACCTACCAACAAAGTATTGGGATACGCCAGAGAAATTACGGTGTATACTGTGCTGTATAAATACTGTATACTGTTTCCGTAACCGCGCATTGGTGGAGGTAAAGAAACCATGTCGCTGGAAAGTTTAAAGTGGTACTCGGACGGCGGTTGCTACCAGCCTCTAAGATTGGCCTAACTCAAGTAATATTCCACAATTTGAAAGGACAAAAGTACCTTGCTCTCCTCTCAAATGATAAAATCTCTCACGGGTTCTTTGGTACGGTCGTGTCCTCCTGACTGATAGGAGACAGCACGTCTTCTGCGTCGGGCTAGTCAAATTGCGTTCGGATGCATGACAGCATGAAGTTATTCAATACACGTGCATGTAATTGGTGGTCACATAATAGCGTGATATGATGAGCATCATCGAAGTCATGGACTAGTTTTTTCTCTTGGCTAGATTCCAACAAGAACCACCAAACCAGTTAGTCTTACATCAAGATGTGTTCGTATACAAAGGCGCTGGTTACCGTTGGGAATTCGGTAATTCAGTTAGGATACTTTCGGATAACCGTGCTTATCTTTTATTTGATCATATAGCGTCGTTACTTCTAATCGGCCTGCTATTGTCAAAAGTTCCGACAAATGGTGCTGTGTGCGTCCACAAGGCTAAATTATTGGCCCAGTCCGGTCAGGAAGTGTTCACTGTTGTGGTAAGTCAGTAAATTAGTTCTGCTGGGAATTGAAACTGATAAGTGTTTACTTTGCTTGTTTACTTATGCAAAGTAGATAAACCGTTTGAGGAAGGGTAAAGTCAGTTCTTTTTAGGTGCTGGAAGTTTTGTTTCATCAAGGAATGATTTCAAATGAAGTAATCCCTACTGCGTGATATGAGTCTTTTATTTTACGTGTCCTCAAGGGTGACATGTCGTCCAGATCCTTAGCACTAACCAATGTCAAGAAATTCATATCAGCAAGCACTGAGTACGAAGGCGCACGCAAATCCCTCAAGCGCCAAATAGCAAGAAGCCTGAGGAAAGACAGAGCTTTGGTGGATAATGAGAGCTCAACAGATGGAGAGGGATTTTGCCACCGGAAACAAACGTGCTCCAGACCAATTATGGCGATCGACTGGCCAGAGGAAGGCAAAAATCAGCGAACAAAGTGACTCATTAATTTAGTCGCAGAAACGCCGACTGGAAGGTTGGGCCGGACATTTCGAAGAATAGTTTAGCTGGCCTCGTGCAACACAGCTTTTGGGGGCGGTGCATATGGATGCATAGGAGTTAAACCTTAATCGCCGTTCAGAAGGAATAGAGTACAAAGTATCCGTAGTGAAACATGAGAAGGCATCTGGACCGAACGGTCTGTATTCAGGCTTCTTCAAAACTCATTGGCGTGATATGGAGCGAAGAAAAAGTGCCTGTAGAATGAAGCTTCTTTAGATATTCCTATTTTAAAAAGGGTATGTGAACGCTGTGTGAAAACCACCGCGGTATGAGCCTGGTAGCTGCGGTGTCGAAAGTTCCATCTAGTCTAAGCCTGTGAGGGTTGACTGAAAACGGAGTGGTAGATCGGTGGAGGCCAAGCTGGGTTTACGTCCTGTAAGACGATGTATCGAATACATTTTCACCCTCCGATAGATTCTGGAACAGCAGCCAAAAATGCTGTTTATTCACTTGAAAACAGCATTTTACTATGTGAACCGTCAGACACTATGATAGTGTTTATGGGGCAAAGGTGCCTCCATGACCCTACTTAAGGCGATGTACACCAACTATCATAAACGTGTGAAGGTCCACTGGAAGCTTTCGCCTGAGTTCACTAGATCAAGTGGTTTCAGGCTTCACATCTCTTCTTCCTCATTCAATAATCTTGGAAGACACTTCCAGGCGGTAATGCGTGTGGGGTCGAAGTGTTCCCATAGCTTTCACTCACCGATATCGAGTACTCAGATGTTATAGCTCTTGTTGGATCTGGCGTCAAAGAAAACAACGTTAGCTAATTCAAATAATTCTACGTCACGGTTTGGCAGACGCTCCACACCTGCAAAGCGTATAGTGCCACTGCAAGAGTGGGTGGGCTCAAACCCTAACCTAACTTATGCGAATCAGTCCTGCTGAGCTATATCGTATAATTTTTGGAGGAAATAAATAACCCACGACATAGGTTGCGCTGATTTTTCCGCGTGCTCCTTGGAAATCCATTTTCGCAAAACCACGCGAAGGGTGGAAACGAGTCAAAGGAGGTCAAACGATGGCTCGGCAGCCAAGTATTATCAAGTATTGCCCGTGTCACTGCTGTCTCCCTGGGTGTGGATCCCGACATAGGTCGCATCAATGATTGGAGTCATTGTCAGACATGGACCAGTAAGTGCATGCATCCAGGTGTTTGCTTTCAGCGCACAGCTTCCCCGCTCAATCTCCCTAGTGCATCAATTACAATGACAACCGCTTGCAATGTCTGACTGTCTACCCCTTCTCCGTAAATAATCAGTGAACAAGACCGCAGCACCTACAACCACTGCAACTACTAGGTTTTTACAGCTGAAGATGGTGATGGTAAGTACTGTACTGTGATTTGGAGGGGTATGCTTGTAGTTCATTGAGGATACAGGGAAATTGAGGAGGAATTCAACGTTCAATACATCAATGAGAGATCGACCAGCGTTGTAAGAGCAACAGGGTTGCGAATGTGTCCATTGAGTGCGCTCTTCAGATGTGGAACCTGTAGAGAAGCATAAGGTGCATAACTCGAAGTAATTAACCAACAGAACAAAGATAGTATCAGAATAACCTTTAATTTATGTTTGGTACAGAGGACAGGGTTAAAATAACTGACCAATGTGATCCCAAGGAAGTTCGATCTCTGTGACCGACTGTTCCATGTCAAGACTTGGAGCAGTGAGTTTGTTTCAACTGTGTCCACTACCGATTGGCTGATTGGCGATCGGACGATCTGACCCTGGAATTGATCATAGTTTCTTCGGGGTCAAAAAAGGCGGTACGAATGTTTTAGAGTTTAAAGGCTGTACATAACGCCGAATATGTGCCACAAATCGAGTTGATGCAATTCCTCATAGCCCTCAAATATTGCGTGCTCGTTGCAATATCCCGTCAATATAGCCTTGCGGAAAAAGTCCTTCTTCTTGTGAGTCCACAGCGGGCATTACACATGAGCTTCCTACAGGACTTCTTACTTATGTGAGGGCTTCTTTCGGCTTTCCAAGGAGTTCGCGGAACAATCATAGCCTGTCGAAGAGTTTTCAGCAATCTTATGAGTAGTGCGTGACGCCTACACAATGTGTTAGCATACTGCCATATCCAACTGTATCGTATCGTATGAGACAGCCTGGTGGAGCACATTCCTTCGGATAAGAATATCATAAACGAGAGACGCAGTTAGGTTTTCCTCTTAAAAGCGAAATTTGCATGCAAGTGAGTGTAGATGGCTA